TCATGGTACCACTAGTATGATTTTAGGTAGATGCTTCGCTGGTTAATTAGGCAACATTAGGTGGTTTTACAACTCTAGACTTTGGGAATATTCTCATCACCTGGACACCATGGAATGGATGGATTATTGTGGAATTGGATTCACACCTTCCCCTCTATTCAAAACCCTCAAAATGGTTTTAGGCTGGGCTCGGGGTGCATGGTTTTGATAGTAGCACCTCGGCCATATAAGGACCGGTCTTCGGGCCTCTGTTGCAAAGCACTACCATACTTCCACATGTCTAGTGGGTAAGGCTTAGTTTGTGGCTCAGTCTGGTTATAAACAAAAGTACACGGATGGAGATGGACGAAGTCGGGGTCGATGGACATCTCTAGGACAAATGAAGGCTACACGAGCTGCGGCCCGGTAGTCGAGATGTCATGGCACAGGGCCGGTGTCCTGCTGCTAGGGGCTCAATCCTGCCTACCTGTCCCGGGGGTTCCGGCCGTAGGTGGGGTTGGGTCGGTACTCTTGTCTATGGCTAGGATGGGTTGGAAACTATGTCACGTCTTCCGTCCGTATACCGTGGTGGTATGTGGCACATGGTTACATGTGAGGAAGATGTGTCTTGTGGGTAAAGATGTACACCTCTGATCAGAGTATAATCTATTCGAATAGCCGCGCCATCGGTTATGGGCAAGCCGAGCAATGTACCCAAGTTAGTGTTTTTAATTCTTAAAACCTGCTTAACAACTAAAATGTGGAATGGTTGGCCTGGGTTAGCTTGGGACGAGCTGGGACCCAGGGTCGGGTTGCCAGTTCGATCTGAATCATCGTAGGCCTTGGGTTAAGGCAGGTTCATGTGGGTTCACGGCCTTGATTAATAATATTATTTAGCTCTAGAATCGTGTTTACAAAATAGCTTTGAGCAACTAAGTGTCTTTTAATGCTGTTTACTGCAAACCCTAACCCTTTATATTTTAACCCCCTTGTACTCCCTTGCATTTATTCTACACTTGTGGGTGTGTCTTGTTGAGTACGGTGGTTGTACTCAGTCTTGCTCAATTTTGCCCAAACCCAGAAGAGGAGCCCCTGGAAGATGAAGGCTTTGGTGTCTAGCTCGTGCCTGCCGTCAAGCGCCTGTGGTCGTCGTCCTAGTCTTCCGCTGTTTTTCGTTTATCTTCTTGTGTGCTGGGTCTTCGCCGCCCATGTAATAAATTAATTAATTACGCTTCCGCTTGTTAAACTCTGAATTGTATCAACTTTTGGTGTACCTTGCCTCCTGGGACAAGGAATAATGCACGCACGTAAGGAACGCCCGTTGGGTTATTTCCGGTCGTGACACCTCGCCCAACCGCCATGTGGCGGGGGAGCGACCGGGAAGAAGACCAAGCCGAACCGCCATCAATGCGCGCGGCGCCCGAATTGTCCCTCACCGCGTTTAATGCGGTAAGGGCAGACGTGCGGTGCCGCCCGACTGACCCACGTCAATCGGGTGTGACCAGTCTGTGACCGGCCTGTTGCCGGTCACGTCCAATTGGACGGGCAGGCGTGCCCCCACGTTGCCTCTGTATCCGGCAGAGTGGAGGTAGGTATGTCCCGTCCCATTGGAGCGTTATCCGGAGTTCCCTCCACGTGAGGAGGACCGCTACAAGTCTTCACTCATTTAAGAGGGAATGACAGGGCTGTCCCCCGTGTCAGGCGGGGGGCGGCGCCGGGTCCCACTCAAGGACGGACTGCTTGTTTAGATTCCGGGCGAAGGCACGGATCGTGGTCCGGTCAAAGTAAAGTGGGTCCCTCTCCCGTGAAAGAGTAGGTAGAAGCGGCGCATGTGGTATCCCCTTGAACTATAAAAGGAGGACCTTGCCCGCCGAAAAAGGAGAACGACACTGAGTAGGCCTGAACTCTAGGAAGCGAAGAGCAAGAGCGCTCTCCGGAGTTTAGGAACCCTTGTAACATTCAACCACTAATCCCACACACAGGAGTAGGGTATTACGCTTCATAGCGGCCCGAACCTATATAATCTTGTTGCCCATACGCGATTTAGAAACCCTGAGGGCGGATACACGATCTCGAGAGGCGAACCCTTTCCCCCGGCCGAACTCACAAAAGGGGGATCTCACGATCTCCCGCTAGAGAGGATCACTCCTCGACAATTGGACTTACGAAGAAATTAACGCTGACCAAACTTATTAAGATTGAATTATATTTTTATCCTATGAACTGAAGCAAATTTTCTTAGGTAATCATATAGATTGATTACCTGCCTAAGATCTTTAGGTACCTGAATGCTATCAGATGAGGTTCACTCCACCTGAACCAATCTATATACAATTAGCCAAAATTCAGTATTCAGAGTAGGTTTCACACTTCTGGAATATTTGCATTAAATATTTGACTTACCTAAATTATTTATGATTAGCAAAACTTATTCTGAGCCGCTTAAACATCAAATGTTCAACTGATGTTATTGTTGCTTTATCTTGATTCAAATTGTTCTATCTAATGCCTTGTGCCCTTTGACTAAATTGCTCTGGTCTTTACCATTTGTTGATCCATCCAAGCATGTCATTAGACTGCGAAATAGAACAGTCAACCTCTTGATTGAACAAGTATTATATTTTTCTCTCTGATGGGATGTATTTACCAAGTTGATGATACCAATTTTCCAGTAGTCATTTACGATTTTTTTTGGCTCATTTGATTATTATTTTTCGATGCTATATCACAGAAAGCACTGTGGAAAATACAAGTTCTGAACATGCTGACAAAGCTTCACCTGCTGATCTGTTGTGCATATGGTATTCCTACCCCACTAATAAGAATCGGTAAATTCAATCATATCACAGCATAATAGGTGTTAAAAAGTTAATTGGAAGTCTTTCTAACTGCAATCTGGATGCTTTTGTTACTATAGTCTATTTATATTTGTCAACTGATGCTCTACTATCGGTGCTTCAGAGTATAAGGTGGGAGTGCTGATATAATGATAAGCTGAAATTGATTGTATATTGTATGTTGCAGACTATATATCAAGAAAATAGTATGGACATATGGTTAACCTGCCCCAATTTACTTGCCAAATTTATAATTTGTTCAGCCCAATCAATATTTTGTAAGCTAGCCTATGCCATATCATGGCTTATAGAGAAGGTTCTTAAACCGGCATCAAAGTCGTGCAAAGCACGACTGTATGTGGCTAGTTATATATGGGGTAGATTAGATTTTGCACCTATAAATGTCCGGTGCTTCTTATGACGTCAGAACACGCAAACGTCCATGCGAGACATTTAAAAAAGGAGGTAAAACAAGTATTTTTCGCTTTGTTGTTTGTTCTCTCAAAAAAAAAATCTTCGTTGTTTTGCCTTTATTCTTTTTATCCACCGACACCCCCAAACACCTCCCGGAGCATCCGGCGGAGCGCTGGGCCCTCAAGGTCGGGCACAAGTTAGCAGCAGCATGGTAAACAAGCCCTTGTGAGCTGGCGCGAAACATGCGGGATATGGAGCCTTTCATAACGCCAAGCACAAGCACGCCCTCCACATGTGCCTGCCCGTACATCTCATTCTGCTGTTTTAAGCCCAAGTGTCATCTCGATTTTAGTATTGCTGGCCGCTGCTCTGCTCCTGGATCCGATCGCATTTTGCATCGTGCTCATGTTTTCGTCAATAGCAAGGAATTGCTGCTTGTGTCTGGGCTAGGAGGTTACTAGGAGATAGTAGATGGGAAAGGCACCACCATTGCATGTGCGGCAAGTGATTGTCTCTCAAGTCTTAATTGAGGGAGTTTTTTTTTTTTTTCTTTAGAGCGCAATTGAGTGAGGCATGCTGTTACAGCATGGATTACCCCAACCATTGATGACGATAGCATATTCCCTATATTAAAAAAAAACTACTAGTAACATATTCCCTATATTAGAAAACAACCAACTTCCGGTTATGAATGTGAAAATAAACTTTGTTCAGATTTACGATTCATAGTTTAAAGTTCATTTTTTAGGGACGAAGCGGGTACTTGCGTGTCTACATGTAGAACAAAATAGATGGGCGAAAATAAACTGACAAAAAAATAATGTGGTACAGGTACATCAGACCTAAGATTAATTCCCGAATGCCAAACTATACTGATTTCTTGGGGTTTTTTATTTTTTGAACTTTTTAATTTTAAAATAATCCATCCTAAAACTTATTTCAAATTTAAAACTTTTGCCCGCATCACCCAGTTTAACATGACAAAACAATACTGTCACTCTACCTCACAGCAGGTGTGCCATTGTTACTAATAGTTGGCGTGGCCAAAAAGATTATTTAGAAATAAGTTTTGAAGTGTTTGTGTTTAAAAATAAAAATTTAAAACGTTTAAGAAACAGTAAAAATTTGATTTCTTGCTCCTGCTATCCTACTGCGACTTATTTTGCCACCTACTCCTACCTATATAGTTTTATTTACTTTATACAATGTATTTAGAAGGACCAAAAATATGTCTTCTAATGTGCAGGTTCAAGAGGTTGGTCAGCTTAGCTTCTACCATACCACCTGACACCTAATTACACCAACCTTACCCCTTCCAGCTTGCGCACGTACTACTCATTAGAGGAGGTACAAACATATTTTAAGAAGATAAATGAGGAGAGAGAAAAGCAGCGAGCTATAGATTTATAGCCAGCTGTAGCACGAACTCCAAGACCTAGTGTGTATGATAGGTGGGACCAAGTATTAATAGTGTAATATATAACTATTATATTAATAAGCTATTAGATTGGCTATATATAAATTGGAGGTAGTAGTTGGCTATACTATTAAACTTGCTCTTAGAAGTGGAGAATCATAATGAATCACACAGCACAAAAAAATGATGGTCTCTACTTACTCATTTCCAATTTCTTCAGCTATCCTTGCTGTCAGGCCTGGAACATTCATTATACTTTCCTCAAATCATGCTGTCGGTAGCAGCTTATCGATCACTAATGTTCATGTGGATGATATTTTTGATAGTTAATACAGCAATGCAGAAGCCAGATGGACAAAAATTTACAAGTAAAAAATAAATTATTTTCTATTTCCAATCGAGAAATATGATCTAGATGACACATCATGGATATCTGAGTTTAAATCCATGTGGCAGCATAATTTTCTACACATTAGACAAATAAATTAATTCCTGCCTTGCTCATGTAATCAGAAGATGGCCAACAAATTTTACTAAATAAAGAACGGTGAAACCAAAAATTTGTGGACAAAAACAGTGCCCCAGCTTGCAATATATTAGTGGTTTCTATTGATTCAATTGATCAAGAACCTCCAAGAGTACAGGCTTGAATCGGTTGCAATCAAGCTTGACGTTTTGCTTATCCATGAAGGTCTGCCTGATGAATTCAAATCCATGTTTGTGGAACGAAAGAGGATTTGTGAAGATCTCATGATCTAGGGGATATTGATCAGTAAGGCTGCTTTCATGTACACCAATGCTATACTGCTTGTAACGCAGGCCCATTTGTTCCGCTGGGTTGCCGAAATCAATTCTTGATATCCAGTCTAGTCCACCCCATGGCACAATCTGAATCAATGTAGCGTTTTGTGGCAAGAACACACAGTTGGTGAGTCCAGCACCATGGACACCCATCATCACATCAACAGAGTTGACAACCTTGCCAAAATGGGAGAGATCAGAGCTCACATTGGCCTCTTCAACCACCACCTCGTAACCTATCTCCTCAGCCATCGCCACTATCTCGTTAAGATTGAGAAACATTCTTGTCCTCTGCCTGGATATAATGAGCAGTCTTGGCTTGGCTTTGGGAATCTCACCAAGCGCAGTTACAAAATCCCTAGGCAGTGAGTAGGTCCTGCGCATGAACCTATTAAAATCCACCATTGAGTAGTTATGTGGAGCTTTTGATGAGTCAATTGTGAACTCCATGTAAGCATGAAGGCCAACAATTGCATGCTTGAAGCAATGCACTTGATCGTCATTGTTGAAGTCAATCAAGGGGTACTTGGATAGCTTATCAAACACCACCTTATACTTCCTTGTCCACCAAATAGCCATGTCTGTGATTAGGAATTGAACTTCGCCATTGAATTCGCTTGCGGTTGTGAAAAGAGGGACAAGCACGTCGGTGAAGTCATGGAATAGATTTCCAGTGTATCCAGTCAGAGCAAAGACCACTGCAGGCACATTGTGATACTTGCTACACTCAGGTGCCACTTTGCTTGATTTCACGGTTATCTCTGTAATATGGCCGAGGCAGAGCTCGTCACCTTTACGAGGGTAAGGCTTAACTTTCCATATCTCCTCTCTCTTTGAACTGGCAGGTTCCATGTACATGACAGAACTTGCATTGGGATGAATCCTAATGTTGCCCCGCATCTCACAGACATTTGCTCTGAAGTTTGAGAAATCACATAGTGGTTTCTTGTTCCACTCCTCATTATCAGTTTCTGCAATAGAGTATCATCAATGAAAGAGCAGAAACAAAAGACTGAATGAAGCATAATCAGTCTAATTTAAGGTTCAATCTAGTAGTTAGGAATCTGAAGTGTATGATGCCATTGGTCTAGGATACCAAAATAGGGTTTTGCATCTATGGCCAAAATCACTAAATTCAGATGGTCCATTTTCCTGTCGGCATTTATTGAAATCTAAAATCCTAACCTGGTTCCACATTGTCTCCCTTGTCCGCGTCCATCTCAAATTCATATTTTTCATTCGGTTTGCCATCTGCAGACAAAGTAGGGCCATCATACCCACCAAGAACTTGTAAGCACCAGCTTAACAAGTACCAAAACAGCTAGTACTACAAGTAAAGTCCAAGAAACACAAGAAGAAACAGCATCTACTACCTTCTTGCTTGCCATTGTCAGTGTCTTCAGCATCACGGATGGTATAATTGGAAACAGTCGGGAGGGTCACCTTGCTATGCTGTGTGTGCCCCTCTTCCTCGCCGTTCTTATTATCCTCTTCGCCTCCACCACCTGCACATCCCACCACCAAAGTACTCATACATAAAGCAAGCATCAATTGATGGCGCCCAAATCTCTCTTGACCTCTCAAGACCCCGTGAATCAAAGCATCCAGAGACAGAGCTAGACAAGGAAATTATTGACGGATTGGAAGGTGACGGCTCACCTAACACCTCAGATGCAGTGGCCGCCTCCTCGTTCTTGCCTTGCTCGGGCTCACTACTGAGTAGCCTCTTCTCCTCCTCACTAGTCCCTATCATCATATATAACGAAAAGGTCAGTACGCTAGGCCCAAGATTTGCTGACTGCAGCAAGGCGGCAATTAGCTCTGGAGCTTTTCACCTTTGGCGGTGGCGTCCTCGGCGCCTTCGTCTTCGTCCACCACCTTGGGATCCTCGGCGGCGGGGAAGGTATCGGCGGATCTCCTGGAGTCGGCGTGGATCCGCTGGCGGATCAGGAGCGAGCGCGGCGCATGATCCACCGACAGCCGGCCGTTCACTGCGAACTCAAAGAAACGAGTGAGGCGCTTGGTGTTACCATCGATCCAAGGATCCAAGAAGAAAAAGAAGAAGAAGATGATGAAGAAGCGGCGACGGCATGGCGTACGGTTGAAGAGGAGGGCGTCGGGCTTGGAGATGACGACGAAGGTGAGTGTGACGAGGAAGAAGCCGATGACGAGGACGAGCAGGCGCAGCCGCCGCGACTCCTGCCGGAGGCTCCGCACCAGCTTGGCGCGCTCGACGGGCTTCATCTCCCCCTCCTAAATCTCCTCGCTCTTCTTGCCGGCCGCTCCACTCGACCGACCTCGCGCCCGCCGCTGACTTTCTCCTATCCCGCGAGGAGAGACCGGCCGAGAGAGGCGGAATGGGGTTTGGGATCAGCGTGGTTGCGAGAATAAGAGGGATAGCAATCTGCAATCCTGGGCTGGCTGGATATGTGCGTGCTAGCTTCCTTCCTTTCCTTGCCTCTTTCGTCAGCTTTCCAGTATTCCTCTTCCTCTGCGCTCTCCTCCCAGTCCCAGCACTAGCGGTCTCTCAGTATGTGTTTGGCACTTTGGGTTAAAACAGTGATGATGGGAGGTGGGGTTTTATTCTTGCATAGTTTACCCGTTCCAAACAAACGGCGGCTTAGGCTCAGTTTTACATAACTTTTTTCCAACTCACCTCTTGCATTTTTAGCGCACACTTCCCAAGCTATTTTTCTAAAATAAATTCCTATAAAAAATTGCTTAAAAATTATATTAATATATTTTTAAGTTTTGTTAGCTAATACTTAATTTATCACATGTTAATCCATCCGTATATAGGGGAGCTCCAAAATAATAGCCTTAATCAGTGTGAACACTCTCGTTGCAGGAGACCGGAAAGCAGCTGAGAGGACATCCATTGATAAGGCAAGACATTACTACAGGAGTATCATGATATCATGTATGATAAAGTCATAGGTCTCAAATCAGTTTTTTTCATAGTGTTCAGTAGTTCTAAAGCTGTTTCAGTTTTTGCATGTCAACCCATATTATTTCCTATTTTAGTCCTCATATTTTACATCAAACATCCCGAAAATTAGAAAAAGAAATATAAATACACCCTCCCATCCTCGTCCGGTCATCCCCGTCACGCTTTCTCCAAATGTCGGCACGTAGCTCTCTCTCTCCCCCTCCGCCGCTCTCCTCCTACCACCAGCACAACTCTCCCTTTCCTCCTCCGCCGTTCTCCTCCCACCGTTGGTGCAACCCTCCCTCTTCCCTTCCACCGCTCTCCCTCCACCTTCCTCGTCGGAATGCTAGCGCCGCCTCATCCTTGCCAGATCTAGCCCGTGGTTCGTCGAGTCTGGCCTCGGACGGCGGCGATGGCTGCGACTCCACTCCACTAAGCTCGCCAGATCCAACCTGGGGCTCGCCGGATCTGGCCTTGGGAGGCAGCGACGACGGCTCGACGACATCGGTGCAGCAACTTGACTACGGCGGCAGAGGCAATGGGACCTCCCTTCACCCGCTTCCTCTACCTCGCCGAATTCGGCTGAATCTCGACAGTGAAGGCGAGGATGTTATAAAACTGGCCTGAAATCACCATCAACAACCAAACGCGGAAGAAACGCCATAGGAGATCCAAACACGATGATGACACGAGGCACGATATTTGTTAACGAGGTTCAGCTGAAGCCTACATACCCGGGACACTGATTGTGGGTGCTCATCTGCGATCCAGCATACTACAATGTATCAGAGTTACAATGACTCACGCCCGGACGTCGCCGGCAGCCACACCATCTCGCTGTGCTAAGTCACCATATGCGGTTACAACAGGTTCGTCCCTCTATTTAAGAGAGATCCTATGATAAAGTCCGACTCTCACTCTATTTCTAATACCTATTACAACTCCAATTCCTAAACTGTAATCGACATTGTACACATATTCAACATAAACTCTAACAAACTCCACGTTGCCCTCCATGCTGCTTGCCTGACCCCAACCCCGATGCACCCCATCTCCGGGAGCCACATCGTAGTGCCTGGTAACACCTCTAACCGCCAAGAGCTCGAAATCTCTGCTACGACTCCTGAAGAAATCCTACTCGATCTCCTCCCTAGCCGCACGCCAACGAGTGTCAACGTGGAAAACACGCGCTGGCCTGAGAGACTTGCTTTACTCTAGTGTAGGTCCAAAGAGATCGCTTTCGGGTTCAGGGTGTGCCAGTTGGTTTGATCCTGCAACCAACAAGAAACAAAGAAAACAACCAACAAGAAACAAAGAAAACAAAGTTAAATCCGTAAACGATAACCGATCGGCTGGGTTGCCGATGGCGTGTCGTTTATACCGGGCTGATGCGATACAGATCATACCGGCCATGTAGTATATGGAGAAGGGATAATTGGACGTGCTCTGTCGGCTGTAGATGTCAATAATATATAATCTATGCTTTGAAGTACTCTTGAACCAAGTGATTAGGATAGATCGGTCAGCGCGCCGAGATAGTATAAACCACTTGAGTCCATGAACACTTTAAGGCAGGGATTATATACGCTCACAGCATAGCTGACAGGCAAACCCAACGTGTATCGGCTAGTAATCCGATACCACTTTATACCAAGATTTCGGTATAGATCAAATATGCTAAACAGGAATCAATCTAGTGTCAGGGTAACCTGACAGACTGATGGCAAGCTTAGTATATTTGGTCCAAACGAGATCTTAAAGTAAAGGGCAGGCTTAGCATATCAAGTAAACATATATGAAACGAGATAACTAAGTCAGGTAAGACCGGCTAAAACCCCGATGCTATCTCTATTAACAACCATAGAACATGCTACTTAACAGATCAAACTAAACTGATGCAACATTAAGCACATGGAGAAACATAGGATCTAAACAAGTCTAAGAAAGCCTTTTCGAGATGGTAGATATGCTATATAATCTAATCCGACACAGCTATCTAGCCCTATCGGCTATTTTCGATGATAGAGACTAGCCGACACGGTAATATAGCAAGATCGATCTAGATTATATAGCATATATGATAACTCAGCGGTTTGTATAGACAGGGCTAGAGTGTCATGAAGATATAAGCACTAGCCCCGAGAACGCAAGCCGCCGTAACAAGCTTTACCTCTTCATCGAAGATCAAAACCGATGCAGCCCAACTCGAAAGCAAGAACTCGTTGAAAACAAAGAAAAGGAAAAAAGGGTGGCGATGCGCCGAGAGTGTATTGAACTTGATGTTGTTTGTTTACATGGTCTCGGGTCATATTTATACCCAAAATACATGATATGTCTTTGCCAGACACGACTCTATCTCTATTACAACTCAAAAATATGAACAAGTCCCTTAGGTGGACTCTTACCGAAAATATCTATAAGGAAACTATGAAAATATCCTAATTAATAGATACAATTGTCTTCTCCGAGCTCCATCCACATTTGGCAATACTTGTGTAGCACCTCAACAGATCCTGACAACGATCCCATGATTGTCTTGCCGGGATTGGCTACATTGGCTTCTCCCTATCAGGTTCAGTACCAGCCGATGCAGACGACAGCCGATGCAACCCATAGCTGATGCGGGTTCTGTTTCCATGATTATTGATTTCCTCCAAATCCGCCTCGGTTCTGACTTCGGATCCAATATACGATTTACCAATTTTAGCCGTTAACACATGCTCCCCAAGTCCGCGATATTTGGGATGTTGCGGATTTGATCGATCCTGTTTCCACTGGTATCTAGGGTTCATTTTCCATTTCGGCCATTACCGCACCCTTTTAAAATAGTGATCACCATCCTCGGATCCCACTTACACCGTATCGCTTCCGTTTTTACCACTTTCGCTCATTATTCCCCACGCAGCCTCTACTGTAGCAATCCCTAATCTCTTGGCGATCTTTCCAGCGATCGCCCCTCAATCGGCAAACTCCTCCGCTCCGTCAACTTTGTTCGGACCTATGGCGATAGTGCACGTGGCTGAGATCCCCGAGGTAAGCTCCTTGTTACTTTTTAGCAATTCCCTCAGTCATCTTTGGCTCTTTGGTGATCCGATTCCTTCTTCCCTTCTGCCAGCATTCTAGGGATCATCTTTTGATTCCCACCTCCCAGAACTCCACATGCTTTTTCCTTGGGCCGATGGGTGATCCGGATCCCACCGAGTTTATCAATGTGAAACAGAGAGGATCCCTTTCAAGTAGATCAAACTAGACTTAGCTCAATGGAAATCGACTTTCAGGTCTTGGCTGTCTAGGTTGAAAGGGTACAAGTCATGGTACAAGAGGATGGTGGCTGCTAAGCGATCTCATTGGGAGGAAGTAGGAATAGCGCAATGCCTGGCTTTATCTATAGCAAACCTGAAAAAGGATGAGCCCCTACTTTCTGCTATCGGCTACTTCTGGTCTGATACACTGAATGCTTTCATCTTGAGGCAGGGACCTATGGCTCCCACTTTGCTTGATGTGAAGATGTTAATAGGCCTAGACATCCTTTCATCCATTAATCCTTTTGACGTGGACATTAAATGCTCTTATCAACTGAACACGAAGAAGAAGAACAATGGCTGGTGAGGCTTCATCGTCGACCATCGGAAAACTGGTCCAATTTCGGATGAGGAACATGCTGCCTTCCTCTCCCTATGGCTCGAGAGGTTTGCTTTCTGTGGGTCTACTTGAGCACTGACTGCGAACTTCCTTCATTTTGCTGAAGCCCTGGTGAGAAAGGAAAAAGTTCCTCTTGGCCGATACCTCCTAGGGGCAGCTTATTGGATGTTACATGTTTCCTTAGCCAATATTCTTATAGACAAGCCGGTCAGTTACGGGGGCCCTTGGTGGTTGGTTCATTCAGCTGTGGTTGACAATTCACACCAACACCGTGGCCAACAGACCTTCTCTGCTTGAATCGGCCTTCCCCACATATGACTCCATTGATGATCAATCAGATTCCCAGCCGTGCAAGTCTTATGGGGAAGCAGCTTTAGTTTACCCTGGTGTCAAGCCATCTATTGAAGGCTTTAAGACATGGTTCGACATATTTTACAACAACGATGCTGCCGATGTTCTCTTTGCCTATGACGCCTACACCGAGTTTGATCTTCCAATGGATTTAGATCTGAGCAAGCTAAATGATGAAGAAGACCTGTTATTGAGGGGCAATTACTTGGCAGCAATCTCTCCTTGCGTTCTTCCTACAGATGTGTCTCAGGGAAGAAAATCTTTCTCTTATGAGTTTTATCACCCAACATCGGCTGCAAGACAACTGGGGCTTGGCCAGCTTCCCATCAATCTTCCCTTACTAAAAGTTGTAGACTCAAGATGTGAAGTATCATCAGTCGATACCATGAAGAAATTGTTAGAATGCAAATTCCCAGTCTCAGCCGATATCGGCGACTTCACCCTTTATCAGTTTAAGCATGTCACCTTCTACAGTTGATAGTCGGATTGGTCAAAACATCTCTTCTCTGCTCCATCCGACTATTGTCTTACCAAGATTGATAACCGCATCAAGGTAGGCCGCAATTTACTTCTAACTAGATTATGCCCCCCTCCCCACGACCTAACTTGTTTTGCTCCCTTTTTTCTCTCTGCAGATCTT